TATAAATGTTTGGATATATAATAACATATGCCAATTTCTCCAAGCTAAGATTGTTCCCCGCGACATTTCACAATCATTTCATGACGATTCATTAAAGCATTTTTATTTGTTTTTCATCTAGCTGGGATTTTTGTTGCTTACCATTTCCCCCTTCTCATTTCCACTCCCATATCCTGCTGATAGCTTGATCTGTATGGGTAACTAGCAAATTAATGCTGTAAATAAACTGTTGACAAGCCCAGAAATGCATCCTAGTCCAATATGCGTGTGCTGACTAAATTTTGGTTGTCCAGATATTGGGCATTTAGCTAAAAGCGCACTTATCGCAGCATTCGTTTAGGATTTCAAACTCTTATCACATTACTAAGGGTTAGAATTCCTGTGTCCTAAATTTGACAACTTTGCTATTCACATCAAAACTTTTTACCATCAAACCACTTTGGTGATATATGTTCTCCCGAAATTTGAACCTCCATTGAGTCCTATAAACATTGATTTACTTGATGGTATGAAAACTAAGATGGTGTGGCCCTTTGTATGGTCGCAGTCTCCTTTCGTTATATATAAGTAGTTTGACCTTGTTTTCGCAACTTGGTCGTATTGGTAGCAAGACTGAGGAGAACTACTTTACGAACCTTGGCTTCATTATTCTCATTTGTGCTTGGTACCATACCTAGTATGATGCCATCACTAGCTTACTGGTAGTCATTATAAAATTTCGGTTCATACGGAATCTTGTTTGTTTTTAAACAGAGGCCATCTATAATAATGCAAATTGAATAAATGAAAATTTCAATATTAATTCTAAACGATCATAGATTGTCCATTTTTCAGGATTTGGCTTTACAACTATTTGGCCCCATCAGAAGCATGACTTTTCCAATTGTATATACGTAGCCATACTTCGCTACATTCATTTGTGTTTATTTTGATGTGTCGTATTTATCTTGCACACCTTAAGCCTGGACAAAAGAAGAATGTGATTCGCTTACTAGTACAGCTCATATATACTCGTCATCATATATGGCCCTAAAAGTCTAGCTCATATACTACAAGGATTTTCAACCATCTTTTCATCACTATATTTCACTCTTCGAGTTATTCAAGGCTCTCTGCCAATGAATTAACTAAATCCTCTGCTCATTTTTTAAATGTATCGTTTTATTACTAATTATAATGACCAGTAACTAATATGTTTGAAATTACTTTCAATCTATTTCTAAGCTCATAGGAACCATAAGTGCTATTCACGATTAACTTAAGGGTTTCATGCATTCCAGACCCATTTTCCATCTCATAAGGTGACTACTCATTATTTATTTAAGAGATTTAGTGTTTACTAATAATTTATTGCTTTGTTAGTAAGGTATAGTAATAATAATAATAATGCTTAGTAAGTATGAGGCTTAATCCTAATGCAGGCCTAGAGTTTAGGGGTGGTCGTTATTCATACGCTTGTAATAGACCTTTTAAGATATCCTATGCGAATTGAACTTGCCGGCATTTTTTAAAACCTCTTTACACTTCCATAATTCCAATTATTTCATAGAAGAGGACATTGCTATACATTTTCAACCAAGCATCCAATAATCAAACAGGAAAATAAGCTACCCTATTTTGCTTAATAAGCTCAAATTTTTAAATCTATTTCGGCGAGCAATATCCAAACTATGTGTGGATTTTTAACTCGAAATTCAGCTATTTGTTCCCTTCAGCATCTTAATTTATGGCTATCCAACATCTTTCCCACTATTAACCTGGGAATTCTCACTGCATGCCTTTGAGAAAAGGGGAAATTTTTTCTCATTAATCAATGTAAAATAGCATATGAATAATCTTGCTAAAGTTTTCCATATCCTCTTGGATAGAGAGCAGTTTTAGTAATTGTTTTTACTTTTGATTTTAGATGTTTCCTTGGGTTTGAGCTGAAGACAAAACTTACCAGTCTTGGCTGTCTAGATTCAGATACTCTTCAACCAGGCGATCGCATTGTCAGTTTGAACGGCTCACGACTTATACATCAGGGCATTGACAGGTTTGAAATATCCAACTCTGTTTCAAAAATGCTTGTTTTGATTTATATCTAGTTTATATGCGATCTAACGGATAACTAGTTTATTTATGCGAAGAAAAGTTGGTTTTCGAGGCATCTATTGTTTCATATTTTTTGAGCTCACTTTCTTTTCAAATATAAGTTTTTTGAGAAGAGATTCGAAGGTCGACCCCAACAGAAGACGATGGTGAATTTCTCTTGATTAGCTATTGATTTGCTTAACTTGAACATTCTCGTCGACACTACTTCCGAGGCAATCTCCCTCGATTCCTGTAAAAACGTGCTAAGTTTTATTGACTTGTTAGCATGAATATGATTGTAATGCTGATACCTTGATCTGATGATTTCAGTCATACGATAGACGAAAGCTTAGCGCGATTTCGCGGGAATCGAAGGAGATTGCCTCGGCAACAGCGTCAACAAGAATGTTCCAGTAAAGTCAATCGACAGTTGGTTAAGAGGAATCCACCGTCGTCTGATGAGATCGACCTTCGAATTTCTTCATCAAACAGTTTCACTTGAAATCGAAGTAAGCTCAACAATTCCTCTATTTATGCTATGCAGTTTAGACTGCTACCGATAAAATGGATTTTTGCTTAGAGTATAATCTCCATGAGATACTGTATTGTATCGTAGTTGCGTTTTTACCTTTAGTGGGGTAGTGAAAACACTTCAATTTCACTCCGATTCTGATGATCCCTGTGGCTTCAGCTTCGATTTTCCCATATAGCATGAAGAATATTCTTTCTTCATATGCTGATTGTATTCCTATACATTATTACTTTAGGAATAACGTTGTATACAATCATTTTGAATCGTCTTTATTTTAACTTATCTTCTAATTACTATTTTATATGATCAGAAGGCTGAAATGATCCTACATAAAAGCGCACCTTGATACATTAGTTTAAATTGAGTATGTTTTTAAATTGTAACTAATAATTGTGCTATGCAATTTTTGCTGCTACTTGTTTTAAGAAGGATTCAACCTAGATTAACGCTTCACGAATTCTGGATACCACTTAGAAGAATTTACCTTTACGTTGAAAGTCTATTTTACTTTTATTATCTTATTCAAGAGGTTAAAGCCAACCGTTCACTTTTCTTTACCAGTTTCATATTTGGGATAATAAATACAATTTAGACTATTTGGAATGGTCTATCTTACGCTTATAGGGCATTCATTTGTCCCCTCTTTCAATATAGGTCGCTTCAATTGTTTAGAAACCGCCTTAGTGATCACGAAAGTATCTTAGTTGGCGTCTTGCGTTCGGACCGTCTAAAAAAGACCTCTAGAGGATTCGATCGGGGCGATTCCGAATCATTTGAGCACAATTTATCATCAGTCTCTGCCCCTCACTCGGCTTCTTGTAGTAGCGCTTTCTCTCGTTTGCCCCAATCGCTTCACGACTTCGCCTCCAACTCTGATGACCCCAGCACCGGTGAGCTTCTACCTCAAGGACAAACACAACTGCCCCGACTACCGATTGCCCCAATGTACGATTTGACCTGCGGACTTAGTCTAACAACTACTCATAGAGATTCTCCTGCTACCAGAAACAAAATAAATGCAAGTTCGAATCGCCCGGAACGACCGCCACCCCTACCGCCAAGAATCACCAGACGGTCACATGTGCTAGTGAATACCGATGACCATTTAGGTCTGTAGCTGTATGCCATTCATTATTACTTAAATTTTATGCTTCTTGGACTCCTTTTCATTCTTTTTATTAATATAATTTCGCAAACCTATCATCTAAACTTCATCTCCTACACCCTTACATTTTGATTATGCTATTAGTACCAAATAAGCAAGCTTTTAATCTATTAATACATATTAAATAGTAATCCAATCATATTAGGCCGCTTCAGGTGAATTAAAAACTTATATTTGCTTTTCTAACTCGGGTCTAATTAAATTTTATTAAGCCTTGCTTCCAAAGCACATCATACATCATGCATTAGGTATCATCAGCAGCTCAATTTGAATTGAGAGAGGTCTGGCTTTTTTAAAATAAAATATTATCTGTGACCCACTTGCACTCTGGGTTGTGTGACAATGATAACATTGCTAATTGACGCTAACAAACCAGTTTATATTCCCTTTTATTGATACTAGTAGAACATGTACGTGGATGAAATTACAGTTGACCTGGTTAATTGGACCGAAGGTATGAGGACCAAGATGTTCTGGCTTATAGTGTGATCGAGGCCTCCTTCCTTTGTATAGAACTTATTTGACTTTGTTTTCGAAACTTGGTCGTATTGCCAGGAAGACCTACAGCAACGCATCTTGTCCGGATTCCATAGTATGCATGGTAATTTACATAGTCAGATCGTGGACTGGGTACAATCTAAGACATTTCGCCGGCATCTTAGTCGACATCGTCAGTCAGCCTTTTCATTCTTAGCACCACGTTACAGCTAGTTAAAGAGACAAGTGAAGTCGATGCTTTGACCAATTGTCTGCTTAACAGTTGTGGTATCTTGCGTTCTGCCCTGGGGTATTCACCTATCCTATATACTCTTATCACACCTTCAATATCACAATTTCTTACTTGTCTAGTTGAGCTGTACCCTTTTGAGCTGATTTGGCGAGACCCATTCATACTCTTTATTGGATTCCTTATCCTCCCCACTGCGCTGGGAGTGTTGATCACAGTATCAATGTATATATATTTATATTCGCAGTATGCCCTATTAGTCCCGTATCCTCTTCCAGATCATATTAGTATATATCTGTTATATACTTGATTTCGTGATTTCAATCGATTACTGCTATCATATCCGTGCTACTAGAGGCGTTATGTTCTACGCTCTGCCTCAAGCCTTTGATAGCTTGAGAATGTACTAGAATAGAAGGTGAGATGAGGCAACTGTTCAGCAGACAGTTGGTAAAAGGATCGACTTGATTTGCCTCATTGACGACTTGTAGTGTGGTTCTAAGAATGACGATGCCGGTTAAACATTTAATAATCTACTAAGTCCACGGTCCGACTCTGGAAATTATCATGAATACTACGGACTCCGCACAAGTTGCGTTCTTATTGGTCTTCCGGACAATATTACAAAGTTTCGAAAACGAGGTCGAACCACTTCTGCTTAATAAAGTCTGTTGGGAGGCAGGGCTGGGTAAATTCACTGACATCGTAAGGCCTTTACTATTGAGCTTGGAAAAACTTTGGTCTTCCTCATGTAAGGTACGAGATTTTCCACTCAGATGAGCCAATTTCCTATCTTATGTAGACAAACTTTATTACTATGTTTATCTTCGGTTTTTTAATTAAGTAATATATCTCTATTTCTCATTTGTATTTTTAGCTAACGAGGATTTCTCAGGGCTGCTCAGCAAAGAGCCTAGATCTCCTTTATTTCACCAAAATCTACCTCATAATGCTAAGTATCCTGCACCCCCATTGCCTCAACGAATGCATCGAGGATGTAAATCTGAGCGCATGAGTTCTCGTCGCACCAACCGAAATAATGCTACCAGCGAAGATGCAACCATCGAAGATGCAAGCTTAACGGCTGCTTTCGCACATGCATCTTTTAATCCTGCTGCTGGCAACTCCTTAATTTACAACGACTTTGATTTTCCAGCAGGTCAGCGCTCATATTATTCGTCACCTGGCCATGCTTCCCAAATACTCTCAGAACCGCAGTCTCCAACTGGTAGTTCTCGCTCTGGTTTTCAAGTTTTTGATCAGGTAGGCAAACTAAGTCTGGACACAAAACCCCAAGTTTCGATTTGTATGCGGCCAACGGTATCGGGGGAACTTTCGTCAGATTGGTGCATGTTTTCTCCTGTATCGACCAGGAAATCTCTTGGCTGTGTAAGTAATGATCTATTTCAGCTTCAGGTTGCATATAATTTTTGATATGGATTTATTTATACCCTTGAAACAAATTATATGCCCATATAATAATCTCTTTTATTTTGGCATAAAACAACAGAAAGTGTCTATTTCACTGTTGCAAATCTTAATGGATACCCGTACAGAATAACCAGAAGGCTACTTCTATCACAGCTATTCGTACAAATGAATGATAGTCTTGAAAAATGAACCGAGTTCCACATTATTTTAACTTTAATCTTTTTGGTCAGAATCTGGAATATTAACCCAATTTACTTTCGATATTGGGAGCAAACTCGTTGTATGTATGCTGTACGTAAATCACTGCCATCAAATGGCATCCGAATTATCCTTTCATTTGGGATCTCTTGACCCATTTAAAATGTCTACTGCTTTGTAATCGTTTTCCACTTTGGCCTTTACGGATCTCATTCCAATAATTGCTACTAACACCAAAAGCTGCACCCATGGAAGCCCCACACAGGTTCACACTCGAAGCTTTTTTGTGCACCACGGCAACCCTCTTACTCACTTGTCTTTTTTTCTCAGCCATGATCGATTATCAAGCCTTCAGTTCTGAAGTAAATGCTGGCCAATACGCATAAACGTACGTATACACTGTGCGAGTATATGTAATAGGCAACAGTACAAAGACACGCATTAAAACATTTGCGACCTGTACAACCCTGAAAATTAAGGTCAACGCCTGAGCTACCAGCCATTTCTCATTCCTACCTTTGGCTTACGCTTACGTTCGGTATGGGTCAAACCCTGCAGTAACATTCATTTGCAGCACTAGTTGGTTTGGCGGGTTTTAACTACCTTGGTTACCACTTTGTTACTTGTATCAGCCAACAACCTTTATGCTTGGGGGACTTTCATCTCATATGAAAGTGCATGAAGAAGAGATTCATAGGTCGATCTTACTAGAAGAGGACGGATGAATCCCGTTCTACTGCAACCATTTGGCTTTTATACGACGCTAAGGTTGACGCAATCCACAAGACCTCTCTCGTTTCAGGTGAAAACGGGCTGAACTTTCGTCCATCATATGATGGACATCATCAGAGCTGGGTCTCATTCCTGTAAAAGTCTCACGTTAATACTAGGGCACTCATACGAAATGAAAGTCCCCCAAACAATGTTATCTCAGGAGATTCATCGAAGCCCAGTTTCTCTTCGTATCTACAACTGTTATGCTGTCATGAGTATGAGAGCTAGGACCTCATCCAAACGTTTCGTTTATCTCACAGCGCCAGTTATACTTGTCGAAAATTGCCCACTTGGCATTAATTTTCTACGCCAAAACTCCAACTGAGTGAGCCGTATCTCTCACCTATTTATGGTCAGACAATAGGCTGTGAGCATTGCTAGCACATTTCCTCAAATCATTCTTTTCACTGAATAAAACAGCTTCAAATGTTATGATTATCAGCTATCCTGAGGGAAACTTCAGAGACGAGAAATTAGATCGTTCTTCTGCCCCTACATTCACGTCCTACGATCGATTTGCACGTCATAACTGCTACTGCCTTTCATGATAGTTTTCTTCGAATTCAGTCTACCCAAGCACAGAATTCGAATTGTTGCATGTTCTGTTTTTTATTTTATTCATGCAGAATAATTGTAATTTCCCGCAAATAAATTTCGTAGGAATCTTGGAAAGACAGTTTACATTTTATTCATTTTGCGTAGGATTTTGAGACTATCAGTACATCTTGAATAAGAGCTTTGGTCACCCTAGATCACAAACCTGATGAGGGTCTTATAGTGAATTTTCCAATAATTAGATAAGTAGGCTTTGTGATGCAATTGAATTTCATTTAGCTTTGCTTCCCAAACGTTAGTCCCATCCAGGGTGGACTGCAGTTTTGGCCTCCTGGGTCTCATCAAAACCCCAAAGTTAATTGAACCCAATTAGTTCAGCGTTTACTTTCGACATGCTGACACTACGCCACACTGTCAAATAGTACCAAGGCAAAAGTGAATTTCAGTGCAAGCTAGGCCTCTTTCAACTTCACCAACATTCTCATTTAGGATAAATACAGCTCTTTCCATTGATAGTGTCTGAACACTTTCTTTTCACATGTTTTTTTATCGTCAGTACTAAGTCAGACAGTCTGGGAATGTACCACGTCCACGGTTCTACTCTGGAAATGTTTATGCATACAATGGACTCCGGACTAGGTTCGTTCCTCTAAGTCATCCTAACAATATGACCAAGTTGCGAAAACAAGGTCAAACAACTTCTATACAACGAAAAGAGACTGCGACCACACAA